AGAAATTGAGAGAAATCAGAAAACAGAAAGAATTCTCATAATCAAGGATTTCCAGAATGAGTATTGTAAAAAGTTAGTGATACACAGATTCAAAAAAATCCCCACAAAATTCTAATGTAATTCTCGGAATTAGAAAACCAATCCAGAAGTACATATGGAAGCACTGAAGACTCCAAGTAGCTAAGTAGACCCTAATTGGAAAGAACAACAATGTAAGAATATAGTTTAGATTTCAAATTAGGTCACAAAGCCAGAGTGACAGAACTATTTGGTAGAAGAATAAAAACAACACACCTATCAAATAAAATAGATGTCGAGGGAGCAAACTCACACAGTTACAGTTTTTTGCTTTCCAACAAAAGTATTTTATAAAAAGAGAATCTCTTTGCTAAAGGGTGCTGAGAACACTGAATATCCAAAAGTAGAATCAACTTAAGTCCATAACTCTCACCATGAGTAAAAATGAATTCAAAATGGATAAAAAAACCCTAATATCATTCCTGAAACTTTGAAACTGAGAGAGGAAACATGGGCCCCAAAATGAAAGATCTAAGCAGAGATAAGGACTTTCTAGAAGGACTTCAATTATACATGAAATTATCCCAAGAATGAATGAGACAAATCATACTGACAGGCATGAATGAATATTCTAAAATAAGACCCATTGCCATATCTAAAAAAATTTTAGTTTAAAAGGCATAAAACAATGTTTTGTAAATGAAATAGTATTTTTAGTTTGTTCAACTTCTGTTTTTTGAAATGGTGTTCTTTATAATTTTTTAATTTTAGAAACACTCTTATTTACATATCCATCCCCCCATTCCTTCACCCTCCCATTCTTCCATGCTTCCTACCGACTCCCCTACCCCACTTCCCAGGGATAGTGAGGGCCTCCAAGGGGAATCATCAAAATTCACCACATCATTTGGGGGAGGGCCCAGGCCCTCCTTTCCATATCTGGGCTGCAATGGTATCCCTCCATAGGGAAAGGGCTCACAAAGTCCATTTGTGACCTAGGAATAAACACCGGCTCCACTGTTGGAGGTTACATAAGCTGCCTTGGCCTCCTAGCTGGAACCCACATTCAGAGGGCTTGGTTTGGTCAAATGCTGGTTCACTCACTTTAGACTAGGAGGTCAGGTCAACTGTTTCTGCAAGTATCTACAGTTCCATCTTGGTTCATTTGCTCATCTCTCTTCCCTCTTGGCAACTGGATTCTGGGACTATGGCTTAGTGTTTAGCTGTGGGTGCTTGCTATGGGGTCTAGGCTCTAGGAATGATAGCCAAGGTAGTCATCAATCTGATTATAGGGGAAGGGCATCAAAGACAGCCTCTCCCCCACTGCCTAGATTCTTAGTTGGGGTTATCCCTGTGGATCCCTTATCATTTTCTCTGTGCCAGGCCTCTCTCTAAACCTGTACTGACTCCCTTTATCAAAGCATCTCCTTTCTTGCCCTCCTGGGCATATACCCAAAGAAAATACATCAAACAACAAGGACATATGTAATATCCAGAACCTGGAAGCAACCTAGATGCCCTTCAACTGAAGAATGAATAGAGAAAATGTGGTACATTTACACAATGGAGTACTACATGACAGAAAAAAACCAATGGAATCTTGAAATTCGCAGGCAAATGGATGGAGCTAGAAGAAACCATCCTGAGTGAGGTAACCCAGTGACCAAAAGACAGACATGGTATGTATTCACTCATATATGATTTTTAGACGTAAAGCAAAGGATTACCAGCCGACAATCCACACCACTAGAGGAGCTAGGAAACCAAGAGGACCCCAAGAGAAGAACACATGATCCCCTGAAGAAGGGGAGGGGGACAAGAAGCCCTAAGCAACTTGGGAGCACGGTGGGGGGGTAGGAGAGGATGAAGATGGGAAGGGGAGAGAGGAAGAAGGGAGTAGGAGAACAGGACTGAGACAGGGGAGAAATAGAAGATGGCAAGAAAGGAGATGCCTTATTCAACTTCTTGATGAATTTAATGTACTTTTCCTTAGAGTCGTGTTTCAGTCTACATGGCTTCTGGATATAGTTTAAATGTATTTCTTCTTAGCCACTTCGACCCTTCGTCACTTTGGAGTGATGTGTTTAACTTCTATTGCTAAGTTAGGTCCATGCATCTCACTTAGTCATTGATTGTTTTCTATGTTTCAAACGGATATTTAAATGGTGTACTTTCAGAGATGGTGGTTCTGAATATGTCACAACTTACCTTTACTACCTAGTGATGGTTTCTGGTTATAAAATCAGAGGCTTCATATTATTTTTTCAAGTATTCATTATATGATGTCTTACATTGAACACAAATATTTAAATAATTAAAACATGCTCACTTATAAATATGAATAAATAAACATGAATAACTATGAATAAAATAAACAAAATAAACACCATCACTGAGTATAAAACAGTAATACTTCATACCAAATGATTTGGGGAAAGATTTATTATTAGTAAATGTGATGAATGGATAAATAGAATATAAATGATAAAAGTATAAAACTGCATCAACAATGATGAAAAATTATAGTCATAAAGCAATTATTATGTATCATTTGGTATTTTAAGCCAACCAAGTATATTAACTTATTTACTGTATCAGACCCATGAGGAAGTGATGATATTAACCTTATTTTAACATGTAGAAAGAAGCACAAGAGTAACTTGTAAATAAAACATATCACTCTTTTAGAACAGGAATTCTAGCTCAGGTAGTTGGTATACAGACTCTACTGAATGTCACATTAGCATCAGCAGATACTAGATTCTATAACCTTTTGTCACCATTCCAGAATTGAAATAACTTCGCTCAAATAGAGTTAAAGTAAGAGGGACTCCATAAAAAGTAAGGTGCATGATAGCTCTGATTTGACCTACGTTCAGAGTGTTTTCTTGACCCCCTTCCCACTTCGCAGAGTTAGGAGTGGATGTTTTATTATGGCAAATATACTTTGATTTAAAGGAATCCAGTCTGCCTGACATTCCCTTTATTTTTCAGAAGCTTTAGATTTTTTGTTGAATTCTTGAGCAAAACATCTCGGTACTTCTTAAAAAGTTGAACTCTATTAAATTCTGCTGATGTTTTCAATGTGATTTGTTGTATTTTGTGTCATTAATTCACAGTCTTGGACTAGTTATAAATTAAAAAATATTCTCTTATTCTGTACTTTAAGGGAAACAACATTTGATGCTAAGGTTGAAAATTGTTTTGGGTAAGTATTTAAACAATGAGTTGCTCTATTTGGTTTATCATTAATGTTTTTACTTCATGAGACATTTAATGAAAGAACTGCATACCATTTGTATCAAATGACTCAATCAGCATACACCATCATTTTAAATGCTAAGAAATAGCAGGGTTAACATAGATAAATAGGGCAAAAGCATTGTAATAATGGACTGAGACTTCCCACACTTACCTCAGGGTTTGCACTGGATACCTGGCAATGTTGTTGGCAAACTGGTCAATGGAAAGGCTTAGAAATCCATGGCATATTTAGAAAGTTATTTGTGGGAAAGGTGTTGTAGAATGAAAGACTTTGGTATTTTAAGTCATAAATAATAAAGACATTTTATACATATTTTGGTCTATGGTTCACCTTGGAGAATAGAATGCAGGTGTTTGTTCACGTCCATTAAGAAAAATCAGGGAGGAGTTTATTAAAAAATGTATGTAAGATAATAAAAGAATATGCAGTAAAGGTAGAATTGTGATCTCTGTGCATAGATGAACTCACTTTGACAACTCTGACAGCCACTCATAAAAGGAAGTTGAGTGTAGAAAGCTTCATGGAAACTGGTGACATTGAGTTTGACTTAGTTCTGGAAAGCATCTTTTTTGAGAAAAGAAAACTGAAGCTTTCTTGAGTTAGCACCCTTTCATTTATAAAATACGAAGCATTTTCTGCAGTTTGCAAATGTCCTTTGTATATTCATATTGCAGCTTTGGCTACTAGATGACATCACTGACTTTTGGACATTGACATTTATTTTTTAAACTGTCAGTTTCCTGTCTAAAACAATCACATCCACTTTAAAGACTATGTTTTTAAATCCAAAGCATTTGTTTCTGTTTTCTCAACAGCAAAGTAGGAATGTTACCAACCTTACAGTACTTTTTGCTAGGCTTTTTAAAAGGCTGTAGGTATTAAGTCCTGATAAAAATGCTTACACATTGAAATCCTCACTAAATATTCAATATTATTACCTAACTGTCTTTGAATACCAGAAGCCTCAGCATACTGGGCAATGGGCAAGCCTTCTTGGACGAATGAACAAAATTGCATGTGAGTTCTCCAAACAAGAAGAGACAAGACTTTGGAGGATATTTTTTTTCTTAGCAGTTTGCAGAGAGCAACAGCTATTATGGAGCTCTGCTCAGGGTCTGTGCTTGTTTCAAAGAAAGCTCACCATGTGTTGAAAGCTTGGCAGACAATCAGTTCTAATTCCTTTTATGTCCACTTTCTCTCATTTTTCTTCTAACATGCACAGACACAGCGACAATTTCTATAATCTCTCCTCTCACTGTACACACACTCACACACACCCTTTGTCTCCAACATACACACTCGCGCATTCACACTCATTTCATTTTGTTTAGTTTTTAATCCCCACAGGATTCACAGAGCAGGCTGAGTGCAGCTGCCGTGTTTTCCCTGGTTAAATTGGCAGTTACCCACTGTGTAGAGTTGCTAGGAGAAGGTGAATAAGCACGATTACAGCATCACTTGATGGACATACTCTCTCAATAACAACCTGTGGAGCCCTGGGGTCTGTCTTCTGTGTGGCTCTATCTTTTATTTTTCTTCGTGTTTGTCACTAATATTGGCTGCGTTTGTTGGGGGAGCATGCTATATTTTTTAAGTGTCGCTCCCAGATCAATTAAGAGACAAAAGCCTTGGTATTTAAACAGGCACTTTCTTCTCAGGGCGGTGCTGCTGGTACCACTTCCTACCATCTGTTTTCATATTACATCCTGCCCTCCTTCAGCTGCTAGAGAGGAATTCAGCTTCTTGTGGAGCGCGAAAGTCATTCAGGTTTCTCTCGTGCATAATCGAGCTCGTAAACTGTAGGAATTCTGATGTGCTTCTGTGCACGCAACAATAACAGATGAGCTGCTTGGGGGACAGCCTGAGCAGTCGGTCAGTAGTACAGTAGCGGCTCGCATGTGCAGACTGCTCTCGTGAGGTCAGAGCATCTGTTTATACTGCTGTCCGCTTGAGGGGGATGATGTGAGCAGAGGATATGTCTGTCAAACTCGGTAGCAGTTCTGGCAGGGGCTTCTCTCAGCTTTGTGCCTCGGAACTGTTTTGATAGATAAGAGATGCTACCGTGTAATGCTTGAGATTTGTAATGGACTGAGGAATGCTTGTTCTAGCGGATGAAACTGACTGTAACTGTGTTGTCCTAGGAACAGCATCATGGGGTCTACTGATGCGGACATTGAAGACCTGGAAAACGCCACTTACAAGTATCTCATTGGAGAACAGACGGAGAAGATGTGGCAACGCCTGAAAGGAATGTGAGTAAGATCTCCACTTGGTCCTATGTTATGCTCCCCCACCCCAACAAAAATCTGACCATTAACATGAGAAACTGTGGGTGCTTCCTTACCTGACTTTGATATTCAGTGTTTCCTTCGCAAAAATTTTCTCTTGAAAACTAAGATGTGTCCACCTCAGTTACCAACTTGTTGAAAGCAGATAGTTTTTCTGTAACTGTGTGTTTTATGTAAAGTATGGCAAAGGTCTGAGAAATTACTTCTGGTCCCCATCGTGTGTGCCCTTTAGCTATGTGCTTTAGATATGCAGAGAAGGGAAGAGGAAGCTGCCTGTTAGGCCCTTCCTCACCAAAATAATCTCTCCCAGGTAAGGAGAGCCATAAATAAGATGGGAATGTCTTTCTTTGGAAAGCAAAGAGAGGATTAATATAGCAGTAAACAACTTCACCCCACGGTGTTTAGCCTTCGCTGGTTAAGTGAATATTTTAATGAGAAAATTATCTATGTGGTAAAACAGTATGAAATGCATATCAAACATACAGAAGCTTTGGTTGAAGTTAACCAGTTCAGTTCTTCTAAGTGCAGAATTGCTCCCAGTGTACTGACCGGGGTTCAGTACTGTACAGAATGGGGTGTGCAATTGTGGGAAGCATGGCTTGTTATCACATGAATCAACTTTGATTCCGGTGTTTTCACCTTGCTCTTAACCCCCATCCCTCCCCCACCAGTGTGTATGTGAGTTCCGGCCAGGGTTTTTGCACAGCATTGTTTTTATGCTTTGTTTTAATCATATCATAGTTGCAAAATCTGATCCAACATTTAGATAATAAATATTAATATTTATAGGCAATTGGAGTTTCTTAATGTCTTTGCATATCTCAAAATTGTGTGCAGCATTATCTTAACAAAGACAGCTGGAGGGCTACAGTGCTCCACGGATGAGAGACTGTGTAGGATTCTTGTTTTTAATGCTGTTGCATGTTCACACAGTTTCATGAAAGGCACTATGTGAGTAAGCCTGATGCCACTGCTTTTTATAAAGAACAACTACATCAAATTTTGTTTAGAAGCCCAAATCCTCTCTACTTTTCTCCATTTGGACATAACTGAATTTTGCCTGTATATTTAAATTGTGCTCTGTATATGTGTATATATATATATGTATATATATATATGTTTTATTACTTGAAGCAATGTATGGTACTGTAATGCCTAGTGTAAAAGCATACCAATAATACAAACAACAGTTAACAGAGAATAACTTTTAAGAAGGAAGCCATATATACAGCATTTGAAGGAAACAGAAAAATCTGTTCCAAAGATTCACTGGAGATTTAGAAGGCAGATTCTCTAGAGAAACAAATAATCCTGTCAAAACAGTAGCAGTTCACAAAATTAATTAGCATAGATGCAAATTAAGCATTAGCAGTCATCAGATGATTTGTGCTCTAACCTAATGAGTGGATGAACAGCTGCATTGGGATGTTATAACTGAGATCACAACCTGTTTTAGAGTCGTCCTTTGCAGGATAGGATGTTTTGTTTGCTCTGGATATGTTGTATTTCCATAGTTACTCTAATGCATAAAGATGCATAGTGGTGACTTTATGCATGCATCTGTGTTTACCCAACATTTCAGAGGAAAGTTATCTGAATTTTCACTTTATCATTTGATAACAGTTTCAGAGGAAGGGTTGATGTGGTCCCTCAATAGCAGAGCTTCATGAGTTGACTGTAGAGTGTGTGTGTGTGTGTGTGTGTGTGTGTTATTACTTTGGAACTATGGCCACACAGAATCACTTAATGATCTCTAGCTTGTTTGGTTTTCAAAAATCATTCTTACCCACTGAAGTGACTCAGTGCTTTTCTATTCAATTAGGAAGAAATTTGCATTTTGGTTCTTTCATTTTACCTTGTACTTTGACTTAAGACATTTTCGGTATTCTGAACTTAGACTTGTCAAAGCAAGAAGCTCTAAGTTTAAAATCTGCATGACTAATGACAAGCAAATTGTTTAATTATGGTCTTTTGTGTAGTCTGCATTCAAGGCAGTGATGTGCGGGACTCCCCATCCCTTGATTAAATGCCTCACCTCTTTGAAATGAAATCCTGATTCAAGCAGAATTTCACTTCATTAGGATTGCTTCTAGGATTCCACTTTTAAGTGTTTTCAATGAAAATCCTGGTACTCATGATTCTATTAAGCAATTTTAAAAAGATGTTCTTATTATTGATTAAATAGACTGGACAATGGCTATGAGATAGTTATTTGGAAATGGTTTTCTTTTACTACCCACAACTTTATAAACTCATTGATATTTTTCTGCAGGCTATGTATATTTAATTTAACTTGTAATATGTCCATTTAAGGTTAAATGTAAGTGGAGATGAAAATACGTGAAATGTTTATATAGGCAACATGAAAAACACAAGCCAATACAGATACTTGGAAAGTCTTTCATAGAAATTTTTATATACTATAATACTTTAGAAACACACACACACACACACACACACACACACACACACACACACACACACACACACACACTGCTATGTAGCCCAGCTTGCCCTCAAACTTATAATTCTCCTGCTTCATTCTCTCTACTGTTTGGACTGTAGGCATATACTACCACACACCTGGTTTGTACACTCCCTTGAGTACATAGAAGTAATTTTAAAATTTTATAACACATATGGAAAACATTGCTAATCTAAAATAAAATTGCTAATCTATCTAGACCACTTGGCTCATTTCTTTCCTTAATCTTTTTAGTTTGTGGTGTTCACGTAGGTGTGTGCAAGTGTGTGAATGCATATATGTGTAAATGCATATAAGTGTGCATGCAAGTGGAAACCAGAAGTCAATGTTCTTGTCTTCCTCTTTCACTTTTCAGCTAATTTTTAATTATAGGGTCTCGAACTGAATTTGAAGCTTACCAACTGAGCTAGACTAGCTGATGAACAAGCCACCTGGATCCACTTATCTCTGCCTCCCCAGTGCTGGGATAATAAGCAGGCAGCCATGCCCCTGGCTTTTCCACTGGTGCTGAAAATAGCCAAACTTAGGTCTTTGTGTTTACATGACAAGCACATTACCAATAGAAGCGTCTCTCAACCCTCATCCCATAATCTTTCTAATAAAACTGTCTTCCAGCCCTCATCCATTAATCTTTCTAAGTCTTTTTCTCTCAATATTTGAAAAAAACCCATATGAGCTTATGTGCCTCCTAGTCTCTTATTCCTTTTGGAAGCAAAGGTGAAATAGTTTCCTATCCCCATTCTCATAAAGACCTCCAAGCCTCACTTTTCTAAATTTTTTATCAGTATTTCTTGTTTTCTTTTAACATTTTTCAACTCATTTGTTACCACTCAGCATGACCATTTGGAGTCCTCATATGACTCATCATCTTTGTGAAATATTAGCAACAACTGTGACATCAGGTCCTTCATAAACTGAAATTTGAAATCATCCTACACTTATCCTTAAATTATCATTACCTTAAGATGTGGGAACATCTTTCTACTTCTTATACCATTTCCTGAGCAGATTCAGTACCTTGTTCAGAAGTTCCATGTGGTTCTGGAACCTCAGCTGAGTCTTACACATTAAGGTCAGTTATCTACCCACAGGCTTTGCAGAGATGGATAATTTACGGATTCCGTGTGAAAAGTTGATTGGAAAGTTTTATGTCCTTTCAATTAATGGCATTGTTTTTTTTCTTTTTTTATTTCTTTTTTTAGTTTTGGAAGTAATGCTTTTTTCTGTCTTGTTACTAAAACATCTTCCTTGTTCACTGGTACCCACAATTGTGCTGTACATAGGTAGCATCATTAATGCTACTTTTCTTAGTCAGTGCCACTGTTCCAAGAATTCAAGCCAAGAGGTAAATGCATTTCCAGAGACTTGATCATGTAAAGTTTTCAGTGAAAATCACTTGAGGTTGTCAGAGAACCTAGCCCAATGCATTATTTCACTCAGTTGTTCAACAGAAGTGACAACAATCTGAACTCCTCAAAACCATATACTTTACAAAAATTAAACACTAACCACTTCCATAAGACATTATCGCTGGCTCCTTCAGGTTGTATGACAGTAGGATTAGAACCAGCCAGGCTTTCTATAATCATTTCATGTCAGATTGCTGATGCTACCTGTATTTCCACACATCTCTCCCATCTTTGCAAATGTCTAGCTATTCAGATGTGGGATTGTGAACATAATGGAATTGAAGAACATCAAGCTAAGCCTTGTCTACCACTGGCTTCATGATAAACATCAATTATCAGCAGTGAAGGGTGACTCACAGGGAGGTAGGGAGTGAGTGAGAGTGAAAGAACTGTATTACTCTTACTTTTAATTAATTCACTTGCTAAAGAAGGCTGTAAGATGTCCAGTTCTCTCAGGAAGTTTCCTAGTCTTCATTTCTTAGATGTAACAGCAGTGCATATTTAAACAAGGCAAAGACTAAAATTGCAAGAGGTATCAGCACCATATTCCTGAACTGGAATTTTACTTCAAGATAAAGCAGCCTCATAGACAAGAGATCCCTTTACTCTCCTGCTTAAACCCATTACAGCTCCTCCTTTTTGCACTTCAAGGTTTGGTATCATCCACGGGGTTTCTGGGTGCCTGTTTGGCATTAGGAGTTCCCTTTCATGCCTTCCTCCCAACCAGATCTAAGGTTGATTCTAAGAAAGGCTACATAGTGCCTTTGCTAATTTTAATAAGCATCTTTCATTAGTCAGACCAGGTCTCCTGCTCCCCTGATTGTATGGGGGCAGTTTCCATGTAGTGACCTCATAGTGTTTCTGCATTTGGTAGGTAGCAGAGACAAGGAAGACAAGACTGTCCTGCAGAACTCAGGCTATTCCTTCATCAGGAGGATCTGTTCTGCTTGAATGCCAACAGAGACCTTATTGAGAAATACTCAACCTGTATGCTTAAATTTTAGTTATACAAGCCAGGTGGTGGTGGCACACACCTTTAATCCTAGTACTCAAGAGGCAGAGGCAGGAGG